CCCCGTATCCGGATATCCTGTTCACTACCCGACTGATAAACGTCGTCAACATGCACCTTTTCGTCACATTCTTCCGGACTTCGCTCAAATCTCCTGATTTGACCACATCAAACCGTTGGCGAGAGAACCGACAGGCCGCTCAAGCGTCACTCTCACGCTACACCCATTCTTCGCCCAGATATGACGATTCCCAACCGCGACCTACACCTGACCAACATCGGCAATCTGGCCCAGGCACTCTTGACGACCGCGGCCAACCTGAACATGGAGGTCGACCACTTAACCCGGCAGCCGCCGACCGGCGACGGACAGACGGGATCGGAGGACTGGCAACAGCAACGCACGGAAATGGAGACGGAACTGGCCCGCTTGCGAGAGACGAATGCACATCAACGCACACAGCTAGCGGACTACCATCGTGTATACAACGAAAACAAGGCCAGTCACGAGTTATTGGAGTCGCGCGTCCAAGAACTCCTGAAGAGATGGTCCAACGACGTAGCCAACCGAGACCAACAACTTCGCATCCGATCCGTACACCGGTTCTGGAACTGGCTGGGAAAGACATGTGCCATGGTGAACCCCAAGAGCGTGACCGTCTTGTGTGAAGCGTACAGCGTCCTGTTGAGGGAGGGTAGAGTGCCAATCACAGTGATGTAACGCCTCTATGCCGCGAACGGCATCCACATTTCGACAGGAGCCCCGACTGCACCCCAAACGAATGACATCGTCAAAATTCCTCCGTTCACCGCCAAGGCTTCTGCACCCGTTTACGTACTAATCAAGTATCAGGCATTGCCAAGTACCAACGAGATTGAAGGACGAGCCATAGGCGCCGGCGCAGTCACGGCCCTTGACACCGCAGCCATCACGCCCGAACGGGAAAAGTGCGGCCGAACGGGAAGTGTCTTCAAGCGGCGCCGGCGACGACGGACGCCCCTCGAAGAGAGCAAAATCCACCCCCGTATCTCCGAAACTTAAGCCTTCGGGCAACGAGTTCAAGCGTATTTCAAAGAACCCGAGAACCTCCCTCAGTCAGCATCCCTCAGTACAGTCCGTACCCGGCTTCACGCAAGAGATGTTGGACGTTTACGAGGAGGTACGAGCGACGAAGCTCTGGGAACGTTATCGGCGGGTCGGATCAATTCTCCCAGACCGAGACGGCCCAGAGGGGCAACACGTGCGTCGGTTTAACACAAGCGTGGCCACCTTTTGGGACCGGTACGGGCAACAACTCTGGGAGCGGACTTACGCCCCGTTCGGCAACGCCAACCATCTGGAACCCCTGTTCCATCAGGTCTTTAACCTCCATGTCGAGTTGCAGCTCTTGATCAACAACACCGACTACGACGACACCCTTGTCCACTTCCTGTGCTTCCCGCACCCGGCTTGGCCAGTCTTGTCACTCAACCCGCCAACGCCAAAGAAGATCCTAGCGGGCGACCCAGGGTGGAGCGCCATCGTGATGGACTACTGGGTGAATCGATCGGTTCGATTCTGGCCCGAAGTTCCGCCGATCCCGCACTCGGGAAAGACAGGGAACGAAGTTTGGTACCGGCTTGGGCGACTGTATCGAGGAACTTCATCGACGCGGGGTGCCCATGGCGTAACAAACCGTACCCTTTCGTGTCAGTGACCTTCCCAGACGACCTTTTGAGTCGCGAATGGACGAACGAGGTGATCGCTCCAAGAACAACGTACTCGTGGAACGGCCAGATAGCCAACGTGGCCTTTTGGAAAGACTCCCCCTTGCGGCGCGCCCCCATGATGGACATCCTCGACTTGGACAACTCCGACTCCGACTCCAAGGAAAAAGACGACGCTCCGAACTACAGCGCCAGCGAAGGGGACGACGGATACAACGACGAAGATTGAAAACCGCACCCGCCACGACCGCCTCGGCTTTACTTTGTCTTAATGTTCTCAGGGCTCCCCCTTTTTTTTCTTCTCTTTTTTGTGAACGTAATACATGCAGTTCATATACAATTGGTCGGTTGGAGTGCAAACCTGTTTAGAACTCGAACACCTCCGTAGGTTCCGTGTCGAGTTCGGCAAGGCGCGGACTTCGGCGGAGAGGTGGCAATCCTTTGTTTGCGCGCTCCGAGTTCTCGTACTCCGTGATGAACGAGGTATACTCCACTAGGCGTGAACGAGGAGTCCAATACTCGTTGCCATCCGCATGCAGCACCAAGTACTCGGGCTCGCCGTCGGTTCGTTTTCGCTTGTTGAGGATCTTCGAAACAGCCGACTCGACATTGGTATAGGCCAGATCGCCGTCAGGAAACAGCACGCGATCCACAAAACTGCTGGCCGGCAACAACTCTTGGCTCAACAACTCGTCGTCGGCGTCGCCCTCGTCGTGTTCCGACGCCCACTCGCCGTCCGGCGAATTGTGCAACAACCGCAGCGGTATCTCATCGTCGTACGGACGGGACCAATACCCTTGGAACCGTTTTAGTCGGTCAACGTTGATCGGTACCACGCGATCGGGGTGTGAAGGCAAGCAAATGCGGTACGTGTTCTCGCCTTGTCGAGAGTGAATTCGGTACGGACCGTGCCAATAATAAGCAAGCCGTACTCGTCGACCGTCTGAAGTATTGGTTCAACCAGACAGAGTCTGCGGGTTGAAATTCCGTACGCGTTCGCGCTTCGACCGATGCCGCCGAGCGGTTCTGTCCTTCAATCAGTTGTGCTTCAACGAGCCGTTGGGTCTCTTTGAACCAAGCAAACTGCGAACGCCGCCACTGAGGCAGGTCGTCAGACTTCCACGGCGGGTCTTGATTCGCGGACACAATATCCAACGGTTGAACCGGATCGTGGCCAAACAAACAGAAGAACGGTGAGTCGCCCAGAGTGGACTGGTAGGCCGTACGGTAAGCAAACAGCAGTCGCGGCAGGTACACGTCCCAGTCGGTATGGACAGAGTTGGCGTTCATCTTCAGCATGGTCGCCAACTTGTGGTTGAATCGTTCCACTAACCCTTGCCCTTGCGGATGTCCAGGCGCGCTAGCCATCTTCTCGATCCCCAACGTCTGGTATATCGATTGGGCCAGGTGAGACACGAAGTTGGTTCCTCGGTCCGTCAGCAACCGATCCGGCACACCGTATCTGCAAAAGACCTCGTCCACGAACACTCGCACAAAAGTCGAGGACTTCAGATCCGGCACCACGAACGCCTCAGGCCATCGCGTGAAGTAATCGACAAAGATCAATACGAACTTGTTCCCGTTCGGAGTAGGAGGGAACGGACCCAACGCATCCACGACTACCATACTGAACGGTCCCTTCAACCAGAACACCGGCATTCGTTGGAGTTTTCCGTTTCTCCACGGCCTCGATCCCTTTGCGGCACCACAACGGACACACAGTCGACAATACTCAGCCACGTCTTCACGCCACCCTTTCCAGTACCCCAGCCGTCTGACCCGTTGGGTGGTTCGTACCACCCCAAAATGCCCAGACAATGCCGAATCATGGCAGAGTTCCAGTACCGATCGGACAAGGGATAGCGGGATTATCGGGACTAACGTGGTGACAGCATTGCGCAACGGCGACTTGATGATGGTCCGCCGATATAGAATGCTTCCTTGCACCTCAAAGTGGTCTTTCATGCGTATAAGGTACCCCAGCGTGTCAAGGTCCAGAGGAACCGCGCCTTCCAGAAGGTACGCCTTCGTGGACAGTACAAAGGTGTCTTTGGCCTGCTCCATCATGAGCAGGTCAGGGGGTACGCTGTAATTGTCATTTAACGGGCCGTCGGACGCGGGTATCGGCACCTCGACGACTTCCGGACATAGATGGCTGCCGTCGCTCTCCGACGACACCACAGGGTCTAGTCCCTCGCCCGCCGTATCATCCTTTGTTTCCGTCGCTGAGCGACCCATGCTCCTCGTGACCGCTGCAGCCATGGGACCCGTACCGAGTCCGTCACCCCACGCGTCCATAGATTCGAGCCCCTGACCGCTCTCATCCGCATGGCCAGTGACAATTGCCGAGATAGGGAGCCGAGACAGTCCGTCGGTACAACCCATATTCACGCCAGGTCGGTGCGTCACCGTGAATTGAAAGCTCTGCAGGTGAGAGACCCAGCGCGCCAGCTTCGCGTTCGTGGAGTGTGACCCGGACTTGAACAGCCAAGCAAGTGCCGCGTGGTCCGTGTATAGCGTGAAGTGGCGCCGGTCGAGGTAGGCGTGGAGCTTGCTTGTCGCCCAGACGATGCCAAAACACTCGATTCCGACGTACCGTCTTTCTTGTTGATCCAACGTTGCTGTGTCTGGTTGAGTGCTTGACTGGCATAGGCTATCACACGTTCTCGGCGGCCACTTTGCTTCTGCATCAAGACAGCGCCCACGGCGATGGGGCACGCGTCCACATACACGATGAACGGAAGTCCGAAATCTGGATAGACTAGAATCGCGGACTTGCCAACGCGCGCTTCAACTTGTCCAGCGCCATATCACAGTCGCCGTCCCACTGAAACAATTCGGCTGTCTTGAGTCGCTCCAACGGTGGCGAGATCGCCGCGTACCCCTTGATGAACCGTCGGAAGTACCCAGCCAGGCCGAGGAACGCGCGTACTTCCCCCACGTTCCGCAACGGTTTGATCTTCAGCACGGACTTCACTTTTTCGGGATTAGGTAGGATCCCGCCAGGAGTGACGATGTGACCCAAGAATGCTACGGACGACTTGCCCCAGTGACATTTGGACATTTTCAATTTGAATCCGGCCTCCCTTAGGCACGTCAAGACTTGTTTGGGCCGAACTAGGTGGGTTCCAAAATCCTCGCTGAACACGATTACGTCATCCAGATAGACCAGGCACGTCCGCCACCGGTACTCCTTGAGGACTTCCTCCATAAGCCGTTCGAATTGGGGTACTGCATTGCGAAGACCAAAGGGCATCACTAGCCAGTCCGTACTTGCACGTGAACGCTGTTTTCGCGATGCTGTCTTCGGCCATCCGTACGTTCCAATACCCTGACGCGCCACGTCCATTGTTGAGAAGTACTTTGCTTTGCCCAACACGTCGAGCAGGTCATCGATCCGTGGCATGGGGTAATAGTCCTTGATTGTCACGTCGTTCAGCTTGCGGTAGTCGATGCAGAACCGGATTGATCCATCGGGCTTCCGTATCATGAGTACCGGGCTGACAGTCCCAAGTCCAGGTATTGTTGTATCTCTGCTTCCATCAGTTCGCCTTCCTTCTGGGATACTCGATACGGAGCTTGCTTGATTGGGCTGGCGTCGCCCGTGTTCACATGACACTTAACCAGATCCGTCGTCCAGGGGCTTTCGATGCCGTCACAAAAATGTCAAATTGCAGCAGCACTTTGAGCAGCACTTCTCGTTGGTCCAAACTCAGGTCAGACCGTTCCCAGTTGATTGGTATCTCTTTGAGGACCGTTGTCGGCGCCGGAGTTTTCATCAGGACCGGGCATATCACCCTTGGGTGTGCTTGTTGTGTCCACACTGTCCGTCCTTCCCCAACCGAATCCGAACTCCGGGGCGGATCATGTGTCGGCAAATCTCGATCAGGCGGTGGCTCAGGCGGTGGCTCAGGCGGTTTAGGCGCCCCCGCTTCCGCATACCCGTGTGGGAGAGTTGCTACCAAGGTGCCACAGCCGATCCTGATCGTGTCCTCGCTAGGATTTTGCACTTGTACCCAGATCATGTTCGAGGAGGCCACACCAAGCGATCGCGCCAAGTGAATTTGGAAACCCGGGAGGGATTCCGACAACACGTGGGTACCGCAAGGTATCGGCGTGGAAAACGAACACTTGACCATCCGTCGCTGCCGAGGACGGATCCGTAGTGGACTCGTCAGGGCCAACGTGGTCAAGTCCGACAAGAACGGCGAATCACTCGTAGCCATCGCCATCGTAGCCTGACTCTTCGGATGCTCGTCAATTGGTGTAAGCTTGATCACGTACGACGTGTGCGGGATTCGTAGCTCGTTCGTCTCTAAATCAATGACCGCTTTACACCGCCGCAGAAAGTATATGCCCAAAACGCAGTCGACCACTGTATCTGGCATGACCCAACAGGGAAAAACTTCGGTGCGACCCGCGATCCCGATGGCGAAGCGGCGCAGCCCCAACGTAGCCAGCGATCGGTTCTCCACAGAAACCAACCCAGACTTTCGAGGCCACAAAGCGGGAGCCCCAAGACTGAGCCAACACCGTTCGCTCAACAAGGACACCAAGGCACCCGTATCGATCAGGGCAGACATCTTGGCGCCGTTCACAGACACTACCGTCAGTGGCACCGCGTTGTCGTTGCTGAGATGGCAAATCAGTCTAGACGGATGGGCCCTCGCCACACTCGTCACAGTATACAAGTCCCGCTGATATGTTGAGTCATTTCGCCATGCGTTGCGGTGACTTCGAGCTACTTCGTCTTCCGGACTTGGTTCATAAACCGGTTCCGTGTCGCAAAATGGATCCGAGTGAAAGACCTCCGCCTTGCCAATTAACTGAACAGAGTCCGCAGCCACCGAACCCACCGGCAGACGGGGCGTTCGCGCCAATTCCCGAGGTGGCAAAGGTGTCCCCTCGGCTTGGAGGACTATATGACCCACCGCGAGTTCCAGAAACGCGCGACGCGGCGCGAAGCAATGCCAGTTGAGTCGCCACACCTCATCTGGACGCCGAGTCGATTCCAGATCCACTAATGGGATTGATGCGGTGAGCCCCAATAAGTCGAAACAGTACTCGGCACACCCATAGAAATTCACCCGCTTCCTGGACCGGACATCACACCCGACCGCTGCTACGACCGATTTCTCGAACATCTCGGAAGTCGCCAGGTGTAGACGGCCAGACTCGGACTCGCCGACCGGACCAACACCATGAATTTCGGTGGAACGGACGTATTTGCGGTAAATCCGGGCCCACCAAGTAGTCGCCACCAATGCCGATCGGTTGTCGTTGAAATTCCGATCCGCCCGACGAGCTTCTTCACACGTCTCCAGGGCACTCGCGAACCACCGAAGCCATCTGGCCGGATCGTCCACATCCGCCGGAGTTTCCAATAGTCGCATATCCTCGTCTGTCAATTTCCTCTGAATCGCTTGCACGATCACCTCCGCAATGTCTCGATGCGTGGGACTCTTGCGTCGGTCGCGGATTTTCCGTACTTGGTCCGCCACGTCTGCCTTGGTCAACGGTAACATCCGATCTTCCATGTCTGAGTGAAGACCTTCCACGATCCCTGGAAAGTCGCACCGGACGATTGCTTCAATTTGGTGAGGGGTGAAGACCCAGCGGACCGACGGGTCGTTCACAGACGGCAACGTCAGCTTTTCCCGTCCCGTGGCCTGCGACTCTACTAAGGTCGAATGCGGCAAACATGCATACCCGCCGGCTGTCGACGCCGCACCTTGAACAGGAATGTCCACCCGTACCGCTCGTGCTTCCGATGACGCAACTGAGTCGACTACCGACTTCTCGTATTGGTCCTCGTATTGGTCCTGACTTTCCAACGGAGCCTGCTCAAGGCTCACCCCGTAGGCACTCCACACGAAGATGGTCCGGCTCATTGTAGTTGTAGCATCGGCGATCCCCCGCTAGCGCCCACGGTTGGAAAGGAACCGAGCACTCCCAGTTAGTGTGACCCACGGTGTTGCAACGAGAGCACTTCATCTTAGTGTACGGGCACGCCTCGGGCCCATGACCACTTCGTTGAAAACGCCCATATACCACACGGCCCGACTGTGTCGTCGTCTCGTCGGGATCCATGTGGATATTCGGCACCACCGGCTGATTCCCCGACGGACGACGCGGAGCGATGTTGGCCACTACATTCGTCAATGAAACCAACTGGTTTTGCATCATTGAGGCTACATCTGCCCGAAGCGCCGCCATAGCCTCTTCTGTGGACTTGCTGGTCGCCTCCGTCGAGTTCGTACGGTTCACCCGCGTCGCCGAGGACGTAAATCGTGGAACGTCGTGTCCGTTCGCGTCATTGAGTCTCATATCAAGGTCCATTCGCGAAAACGAAGGTAGTCCAGGCACTCCTGAATCGTACCCGGTCGCGTCTCCGACCCTCGGATGCACGAGGCCACGCCAGGATCCTTGCAACCGTCGATGAAGATCTGCACCGCTTGAGAATGTCGCAACTCGAGATCTTGGGCGGCATCGTTGATACGCCACGCGTATTCCCGGACGGTTTCTTTCGCCTTGCGGATACTGTTCTGCGTGATTTCGGCCATCTTCGCGCTCATGCTCTTCTGTACAAACTCCTTGTAAAATGCGCTTCTTGTGCTGCGCCAAGTCCGGTTCGAGCCTTCGCGGTGACGACGGGCCCACCAATCCTGGACAGTACGGATCTTCGACTCGGCCACGCTGTATTGAAAGATGCGTATGAGCTCGATATCCGTCAGCTCGAACTCAATCTGAAGGTCGTCGAGATGTCCCAAGAAATGGTCCAATTGCAACTTGTCCACACTTTCGAGCTTAAGCGATTGCTTGCGGGCGTTGCCCACCAACGAATGTCGATCCGCCGGCCGACGGGAGTATGGGTCCGCACCAAACCGTGGATACGGAGCCGGATCTCCACCGCCATCACCACCATTCCCTCCGGGTCCGCCGCCCCCACTGAGTCCACCCGAACCATATGCGCCTTCTCCAAATCGGCGCGGATCGTTCCCGTCACCGCCATCGCCACGGCCACTCGTAGGGGCAGGTGCGGACCGGTACGGCTCCGGACGAAGCGGGGCGTGCGTTCCCATCGTCGAAGCCAGAGCCGGCTCCATAACTGAAGTGCTCGTTCCCGCCATGTACACCAGTATAGTATGACTCGTCGGAAGGAACGGAGTCTGCATCGTCTTCAAGGTGTCAAAGATGGCATCCAATTTGTCAGTCACTGAACCTTTCGAGGGGTGCATACCAAGGACCGGAGTCCGGTCGATCGTGAAGTCAGAGCCCATGACCGTAGAAGAAACCGAAGAACCACCAGACGGGGCTCGCCGTACTTGTACCGTCGAGTCATGCAAGTAGCCAGGTTGTTGAACAGGATGCGCCGTTTCATACTCCAACGCGGGGACGACGTTGGGTTGGTCCGGGGTTGGTGGCGGCACGCGAAGCAGTTCCAGCCGTTCTGACAGAAGTCGCGATCGTTCCGCCTGCATCGCGATGTTCATCTCTCCAAATTCGCTTGTGAACGGTCGTTTGACAACTGAGTCAACCATGATCGGCGCTCCTCGTCAAACAGGGCACGCTCGTCGGCCACCTTGGCTGCAAATCCCCGTTTGGCCTCGTCGAGCCGAACCCGTTCTTGAGCTAACGCGGCCTGAGCACTGACGAGCTCGGCGGCCGTCCCTTCGAGAACTTTTCGTTCCGACCGTAGTTCCTCCCGAGACAGAAGGTCCGACTGCAACTCGCCGTTCATGTCCGTGAACATGTTCAAGTTGATGTTACTTTCATGGGCCTCACCTTCCAAAATCTAGATCTGAAGGTCGCGCGCGTCGACAACGGCATTCAGACGTCGTTCTTCTTCGATCTGGGAGACGACTCGCGTTGTAAGCTTTAATACTTCTAGCTTCAATCCCTCGCATCTGGGGCAGGCCACAAGAGCCGCCGTTTGTTTCTCGGCGTCGGCCCTTTCGAGTAGAGTGATGGTCCTGTCTTTCTGTGCCTGGCTGGCCCTCTACTCATCACCATCCAAACGGGCTTGCTCTCGTATCGCGTGTCACAGCCAGTTGACCGTCGATGTCCGTCGTTTGACCCTGGACAGTGTCCTCCACGAGACCCGAGTTGAGCACCTCTTGACGGGCCTCCTTCCCCATGCGTTCCCGCTCCGCCTCGAGTCGTATCGCGTATCCACGCTGGACCAAAGCCGCCTGCTGTTGGAACGACGACTCCATGTTGATGAGTGCCAGTTGGAACGCCTCTTGTCGAGCTTGTTCTTGTCGCCTCATGATGTCTTCGAACCGTGACGCCCACTCCGCCAAATGCGATTCCTTGTGCTCCAGCAAGCTCATCCGTTCTGTACACGCCTGAAGCAGAAAATCGTTGAACGCCTTCACTTGAGCCTCCCGCATTGCATTCACAAATCCCAGTCGCCCTTCCGCCTTCATGCGAACGCCAACCACGCCAGGAGTCGCGGGGTTCGCTTCGCCCGCTCCCTCCACACGAGGTGCAACTGCCACCGACACCACCGGTCCAATAATCCCTCCAAGTCGTCCAGTGCCCTCCTCGTCGTCGACAGCACCTTTCTCCGGTAGCAGTTCGTCACGGTTGTTTGACTTCGGGGATAGCGGTCGCGGAGACGAATAGTCCCAGGTGAACGCGACCATTTCTCTTCCTTGTACGGTTTTCTTCTTGCGCGGAGACCGGATCGGCAGCTCCTCCGTTCCTTCCGTCTTATCGGGCGACACATCGGGCGATCCGTCTGGGTCTCGTTTTCTGTCACGAAAAGGCGACACCATCCCGTCCACTTCCTCAGCCACATCATCAAGCGTCGTACACACGCACTCGACTGGGTTTCTCGTACAGCCCATACTCCGGTTCAAGGATTTGAAGGCGTCGCGATGACCGCGGGGGTTTCTCCGGTGAAGACATCTTCCTTCGCGGTTCACTCTTGCTTGGTTCGACCGGTCGTTCGGCAAGCAATGTACCCTGCTGCTCCACCAAAAGATGTCACGTAAAACGTAACAAGTCCAAAGGGTTCTAGCTTGGGAAACGACGCGGTCTCAACACAGATCTCGATGGGGTAGTCGAGATCGCGTGCTGGAACAACGGCAAACACGTGGGGTGGTTAGAGCGAAAACTATTGTTAGGTTGCTACTTCTACGATCAGGCAAAGACGACAGTCAGCCTGCCCCGTATCCGGATATCCTGTTCACTACCCGACTGATAAACGTCGTCAACATGCACCTTTTCGTCACACACCAGCAACTACCGGTAGCGTATCCGAACATTATCCGGATAATGGGATCAAATTTACTGGCACCGGTGCAGATGCTGATGGTAGACGTGATAATCCGTCAGCAGCGCCATTGAGTTCGCCTGCTCGGTGTATCACGGTGTCATCCAGTCCTTGTATTTCCATCGCCCATCTGGATAGTTTGTGGTTGCCTGGTCGGGATCCTTGGTTGAAGAGCCAAGTGAGACCTTTATGGTTGGTGTGGATGGTGAAGTGTCGCTGGTCAACATATGGAAGGAACTTGCGCGTAGCCCAGACGACGCCCCATTATTCGATTTCAGAGATACTCATCTCCTTGGTGATCCACTTCTGTTGAGCCTTGGAGAGAGACTGGCTTGCGTATTCATTGACGCGGTTCTTGCCATCTAGTTTCTGCATGAGGACCGCGTCGACTGCGATGTAACTTCCATCGACCCAAATATCAAAGGGCAGGTCGAAGTCGGGATGAGCGAGGATGGGAGGCGAGATAAGACTGCGTTTAAGTTTGCCAAGGGCTACGTCGCAGTCTGGCGTCCAGACGAAGGTCTCATCCGTGACCAAGGCTGAAGTAACTTGCGAGGCAGAGGAAGGCACGGACTTGTGACACATCTTTGAGCGTTTTGACTCGCAGAACAGACTTGATCTTCTCAGGGTTCGGGAGTATGCCAGCCAGCGTGATGATGTGTCCCAGAAATGGGACAGATGAGCGACTCCACTTGCACTTGGGCATCTTGAGCTTGAAGCCTCCTTCTCGGAACTTGGTCAAGATTTTGGTGAGTCGGACGAGATTAGCCCCGAAGGCTTCCCTGAAGACGATGCAGTCGTCAAGGTAAACGAGGCATGTCCGCCACTTTAGTCAATCAAGATGTGCTCCATGAGACGCTCGAAACATGGGACTACATTGCACAGGCTAAATGGCAGGATAAGCCAGCCATTCGTAAAGTCCATACTTCCAGGTAAACGTAGCCTTCTCGATAATTCCTTGGGACATCCGGACATTATAATATCCAGACGCGATGTCCATAGTTGAGAACAGTTTGGCTCGTCCGAGTACGTCCAGTAGGTCGTCGATACGAGGCATCGGGTACGAGTCTTTGACTGTGACGCTGTTGAGTTTGCGATAGTCAATGCAAAACGGATCGATCCGTACGGCTTCCTGAACATGAGGACGGGACTGGCCCATGGGCTCTTGGACGGTCGTATTAGACCGAGGTCTATGTACTGGTTCAGTTCAGCTCCATGATGTCGCCTTCAGCCTTTGATGTGCGGTAAGGAGCGGATCGGATTGGTTGCGCGTTGCCCGTGTCGATACTGAACTCCGCTAGATGTGTCTTTCCAGGGGCTTTGGACGTGCCGACAAATATGTCGGTGAACTTCACCAAGGTCTTTCGTTGGAGTTCTCGTTGTTCGATGCTGAGAGTTGAGTCGGACCAGTCGATGGGTAGTTCCTTCGCCGGACTGGTCGTCTTTTGCACTGGGCAGACCATATTGGGGGCCCCAATTTGAGTGAGGACCCTCCCAGGTAGTCCATTCAGTGGCGAGTCAAACGAGTCGTCCGGCTGCAGGCGAGACGAATGGGGTTGCGACGAAGAATTTTGAGTATGTTCGGTGTACTTAGGGGGAAGCGCCATCCAAGTTCCAAGGTGTGTGTTGGCTTGTAGCGTGAGCGGTTCATACGAAGCGTTAGCAAGATCGATTAGGATCGTGTTGGACGACGTTTTGCAATATAACGCCGCTGCAATCTGGGCTTGCGCGTTCGTTCGAGGTTCCACGAGAAACGTAGTGGACAAGGGGAGATCATGTCCGGCCAAGCATGGGACATGTCGAACGGATCGAGGCGGGACGGTAATAGTTTCGGCCACCGTCGTGAGACCGACCGGGTGTGAAGTAGGTACGGAGTCGTCCAGATGCTTGAGAGCAGAATTCGCTGTCCATCTGACAGTGTCAGGGTATTTATTGTCCTTGAGGTTGATAATGGCCCCCAAGTAACGGAGCAAGTCGAGGCCGAGGATGCAGTCTGTCAACGACGTAGATATGACACAAAAAGGAAATGACACCTTGGCGCCAGCGAGGTGAAACGAGAATTCCGCGGCCCAAAATGTCGAGTTTCGAGTTGTCTGCAGTGACAAAGCCCAGACGAGGTTGTTTGAGTATGGGCTGGCCGAGGCGATGCCAAAATGACGCACTGATGAAACTACTGGTTGCTCCAGTGTCAATGAGAACCGTTGCTTGTACACGGTCGATGTACGCTTTGACGAAAGGTTTCATCGCCGTCTGTGTCCGAGTGTCAGACACAGCGATGCGCGCGACAAGGCGAGACGAAGGTGGCCAGTCGTTGAACAGGTCGTCACAATAGGTCGGGTTTAGTTTTGACGAGCGACTTTGGTAGTTTTGAGTTCCCTGTAAATGAATGCGTTGTCGAGCAACGCTGGACTGGGAGGACTTGTCCGATGGGCAGTCGAGTGGTAGTTCGTCCTAGGAATCGATAGGTGATCTGGACGAGATTGTTGAACGTGAGATCTTAGAACGTGCGTGCCAGCGATGCTGAAGCCTTTGACACCGTTGGCGAAGGTGAGTTATCAGGCACCGCGTATAGTCCAGGTCAAGGGAGTCGTCAAACTCGTCGCCGGCCTCACATAGCAGCACATCGTAAAGATTAGGGTCGACCAATTGTATGTGAGCGACAGCCTCGGATGTTTTGAAGTCGCGATTCACGCGTTTAGCCTCGCCACACTTATTGAGCGTGTCTGCGAACAATACCATTTGGCTTCGTCCTCGATATCTGCCGGTGCCAAAAGTAGGTGGGCATCTGACAGAAGAAGGAGGTTGAGAGTTTTATCTCCTCCTGTGAAGGGTTCTTGCGACGTTGGCTGATGCGATCAGTTTGCATGCGGACGTCAGCTGGAGTAATCTGGTAAAATCGATCCTCGATTTCCTTGGGATATTTCTCCTCGCGTATTTCAGGGCACGACGAAAGAAGGTCGTTGACTTCAGCGTCCGAGAAGACTGGGCGTGCAGGTTGGCCGTCCGCGCCTTTGCGAACCTGATTGCGCGAAGTCGTTGAAGCAACTGTCGAGTCGAGTGATGGTGCTTGAATATGAGCCGTAGACTCGTCACAAACAGACTTGGCCAGACAAACGTGATTCGTCGGAGTGGGTCTTGAGTGCGTAGGTGAAGAGTTTGACTCAAGCTTGACCAGACGAACAGAATCCGTCGTCGTGAAACATTAGTGTGCGTAGAGAGATGCGGCATTCGAGTCGAGTCCAAGATTCAATGATGGATAAAAGACGTGATTCCTTCCTCCGTCGTAACCATTGGGATCGAACAAGAAAAGGAAGATGCATTGTTCTCAGGTTCATCTCAGCGCCAAAGCCTCAGCTTGATTTGCGGGTTTGGATGAGCACTTGGTGACGGTGTGTCCAGGCTGGCCGCAGAAGTGGCAGAGCTTGACATGTTCGCCTGGGTAGTGTCCCGTCTGGCCCCAAGAGTTGCAGCGCATAGTCCGTCGGGAGCATTCGCTGGCACCATGACCACGACGATCAAAACGGCCACAGACGTATCGGCCGCTGACCGTCATTTCGTCGGGCTTGGACGACATAACCACTGGGGTATGGCCAACACGAGTTCGTCCGGCACCGGACATTTGATTCTGAGTCGGTGTCAGGTTCGGTGGAAGGGCCGCTTGACCGGAAGGTGCAATGGTATTAGGAGCATATGGTTGGTGATACGGCAGTCCATAAGACGAAGTCGCGCGCCCGTATGGTTGCGACGGCTGAATCGGGGCAGCATAGTTGGGCTGAGTTTGACGAGTCAAGGCATCAACAAACCCTTGCTGGACTTGGTTCGAACGCCCCATCAACGCGACGAACGCCTTTTGTTCCTGGGCATTGTTCGTCGTCTTGAGTTCGAGAATTTGCCGCATCGCCGCTTGGTCTTCAAACTCGACATGATATCTGCGGCGTGACAGACGAGGCGACGCCAGAAGAGCTGAACGTTCACTGGTAGTTGCACGAGGCGACGCCGACGTTGAGGCCGAGGAGTTGGATCGAGGCTTGGCGTACGCCTGGGGCTTGGCAATTTTTTCGTCCAGACGAACATCATGCGCGTGAAGGAGTTTCATACAGTCGGCGATTGAGTTGAGTTTCGCGGTCGGTGTGTTTGAGACATGACTCTGCACGGGCGTGACGGACTCCGCGTTTGAACATGGCAACCCCTTTACTAGCTGGGAAGTCCACTTCGTCCAAGATTGTCTGAATTGCGTACGCCTTTACCGGTTCGTCCATGTAACGCTCAGACGCTTCGATCAGGTTGTACCCGAGGTCGCGAGGTGTGCTGCTGCAGAACTGGTCCACAAAGCTGTCATGGATTTCGGACCAGACCTCACCGCCTTTCGTCTTGGAGTAGGCGATCCACCAGGCTTTCAGGGTAGTGGGAGTCTTGTCGGCCGAGAGCTTCAGACCGAGAAGAGACTTACGTTCGTCGTCAGTCAGACCACGACGGTCAGCTTGATCCACAAGTTGCTTCATGAAGTACTCGCAGTGATCATGGGTGTTCGACGACGGGATGGTAGTGTATTTCACAGCGCGACCGAATGCTTGGTTTCTCGAGGACGTGTCGATAGCCTCCTTGACGTCAGCCATGTTACTGGACATTTTGGTCAAGAGGGCAGTGAGTTCGGAAGGTAGCAGAAAAGGGTAGCGCGAGGATGGTTCGGGTGCAGGGATCAAAGTTTGGGCTAGACGGGACGAGAAGTCTAGATTGATCAATGCGCGCTTCGAGAAGTAGCACGCAGTCTTGCAGAAGGGTCTTGTCGTGGACGAGAGACGAGACGCGCTCGTGTTAGAAATGGTTTTCCTGGCGCGCTTCGAGACAGGGACGAGTGTCGTCTGAATAGGCAGGTGGTGCAGGAAGTTGTTCGTGGAGGAGACGACCAAGAACTTGGACGTGAGACGAGAGACGTTCAACTTCGCGGAAGACACGGTCTTCGTACGAGTGAAGAGCGGTCTGCAGTAGAGCGGTAGCCGAGGCGTTGCAGCGAAGAGTGCAATTCAGAAATGACCCGAGCATTGACGGACATTGCCGTTGGATCTGAAACCGCCAGCGCAGAAGTTCGAAGGAGATTCACGGAAACGTCCAATGTTTGAAGTTCAACTTGAATCGACGAGACGTTTTGAGTCAAAGTCTTCTTCCGTTCGGCCACTGTATCAACAGCGTTGCCGAGGTGGACAATTTCGTCGGTAGCAGCTAACTGCCAGGCACGGGTAGACGAAAGGGTTTCGTCCAGTCTGTGCGAAAGGTCCGTGGTCGCATCTTGGTGTCTGAGGGACAAGGTTTGCAAGGTTTGGACTTGTTCTGAAAAGTGGTATGAAAACTTTGGAGTAAGGTTCGCATATCTATATTTGCGAGATCCGCACTGGACGGAGAACTAGCGACCAAATCCGACTCGGTCGTAGGTTACATAATCGAGTTGTCGTCCGTTTCCATTTCACCAAAGTCGTCGAGAATGGATCGGATGGGAGGTGGTCCGTCAAGCGTCAAGATCGGCGGCATCGTCAACGACGGCATTCTTCAGTCGCGTCGACGTCCATAGGTTCGTCGTGGAGAACGAGAGGAGCCAGACCAAACGGTAGGTCTGGTTCAAATACCATCAAGTGCTGATGACGTTCCACGATAGGTTGATGAATGGGCACCCTGCCGAATAGCGGACAGGACTCGGCATGGTTCGTGATGTCCTCGACACTCATGGGTTCGTCTGGACAGGCCGACGAGGTGTGGTCGTCCATCCGTTGGGGGGGAGTTTAGTTGGATCTCGGATCCACGTGAGCGATTCGAGGCAATCCAAATGGCAAAGCAGGATTGTAGACGGCAGTCTTGTGGACGAAGTTGGAAGCCGGCAGGGCCAGATGAGTCGGCGACGAAGAGTTAAAGCGCGATCTCGCCTGGTCCAGTACTAAACTGGTTTCGTAGTTTTCGGGAGAAGCTCGTCTCGCCATAGTCAGCTGGTCTTCAGTGTTAAGCTGGGGGTGCGAGTCGTCACTACATGCGGGGATGTGACAAATTGCCTCATGAGGCTCTGCCTCATGGGCTAATCCGAACAGTAACCGGAAATACTGACCTAATTGAGCCTAAATGAGTTCAGCATAATACAGGCGTGCCAGTAAGACCAGGAAACCACTTCACATACCAACACCAAGTAAACGTACTTCGTCGTTGAACAAGCCTTGTCTGGGAGCGGCACGGCCTTACGGCCTACCTGCCGCTTTTCCCGACAGGAGGAATAGATAGATCATTCGGTAAAATGAGAGGTTTATATCCGCACGCAGACGGCCTCCCGGGCGCTCGGGGCCTGCTGTAAGGCTTGGTCATTGCCAGTGATGTAAGTCTAAGTAACAATTCACTAGCGGTTCAGGGAAAAAAGAATGACTTCAAAAGGTATTGATCCCAGGACCTCAGGGTTACGAACCCAACACACTGACCTCTACAGAGAACCGAGTAGGAACACGCGCACAGTGGTATTTTGAAATATATGGGGAATTGTATGCCAATGCGCAAGTTGTGATTCCGAGTACGAATTATAATTTTGCAATCAGTTCAATCTGATTAATTTTATTATATCCAATCATACAATTTACAAACTTTTTATGAGCATACTATTGGTTAAAATATAAAATATGAAAAAATACTATTGGTTGACGTCGGAATTTATGAATGCTCCATGGAAAGAAAATAGTGTCGATACCACTGTGCGCGAGTTCCTACTCGGTTCTCTGTAGCCCAGCGGCCCATTATAATGTGGCTTGGATTTTATGCTATCTGTGGATATAACCTCTTTTACTCACACATACCGGTACTAGATAAATAGGTAAGACAAGGATTATTCGGGATAATATTCGGATGAGGCTGTGCCTAATGAGGCTATAAAGCTGCTCCCCTACATGCGTCATTTCCATCAAGACTGGTACACTATGGGCGTGGGCAGACACTTGAGCCAAGTGATGAATTGTTTCGGTCACAGACTGCACGCTAGAGGTCAGTAGCGACAACGTTCCAGGCGTAGAACTTGACGAGGAAGGAGTACGAGTCGTTCGAAGTCAAGCGCGCAATCGGACTGGTAGAGGTGAGTGGGACAACAGACTGGGTTAACATCTCGTTGTCGTTGCTTCCGGCCAACATGGACATGTCTGACTTGTTTTCGTCCGAGCTTACTTAAGCCATATCTTCAGTGTATACAAGCTCTTCAGACGAACTTCGGGGCTCCATGGATAGGTCTCTCTCGTCGTATAGGAGAGAGGCCAGTTCACGACGGAGGTCGAGGTAGTATCGGCGGCCTCGACCGAGACTTCGGCCTTTGCTTCGTTTCTCCAAGTCTCGTTGCTCAGGAGAGTTGGAGTGGTGTTGGATTCGGTAGTTGATGTCTCGATTCAACTGTTTCTGGACAGGGGTGCCTTGGGCAGGTTCAGGCTGACTTTTACACTCTTCATCAGAGCTGCTGCTAGGAGACTTCATCGTCAGCCACGCTCACGAGGTCAAGCCTCGTATCGGTCAGGGCTGGAACGGCTGAGGCGATATTCGTGTCGTCTGCGATTGCTTGGACGGGAGGTGGACCGAGAGGCCTTTGCTCATCCAGGTGTGCTGGATTTCTTGGTTTAGCAGGAGAGTTACCCTGCTTCTCCACCATTTTTGTGGCGGTCTTAGGGGTTAGACGCACAAAACTTTCGAAGGTCCGGAGGATCGGACTTCATGACCGGATACTCTCTGCTTGGCCAAGAAGAACACAGCAAGAAAAGAGTAGATCCAATGTTAGGCAAATGTAAAAGTGAACTATCTAAAAGCTAGCTAAAGCTGACGACCTTTGGGGAAATGTCGTGTAGAATTTGCAAGACGGCCGAATTCGAAGGTAGTCCGCCCATCGAATAATATACCTTTGTGATGGCAGTACCACGATGTGGTATAGTAGTACAAGCCCATGCACCAGCTCCGTCACAGCACTAGTACAAAGCACCACAATTTGCGTACTGCTACATACTGTAGTGCTATCAATGACATTGCCACTGACGTTAGGACGCCTCGGACTCCCCTTTGGTATGTGACCTGTGCGATTGAGGAGGATTGGTCAATTGGAGTCCGGCAATTCGTGATTTGCTTGAGATCTCATAGGATATGAAAATCGTAGGTCCATCTCCCTAAGATTTCGTCAATTCACAAATGTATTGCGAAATTTTATGTTTGCTACAAATTCGTATATAACTTTAAAAAAATTGAGGTGGAGGATTTCAAAATGGCGAAATCGTAGGGGTGTACACCCCTACAATGGCCTACGAACTCCGTAGAATGTAAGATGTAATAGCCATTCAAATTGCATATAACGATATTACCCATAACGTTAAGCTTATTAAAGTTAACAAGCAAAATTAACATACAAAGAGCAAGTGTACGTTGTCTTGTGCTGGTGTTCACAACCGATGTCTACCGTGGTCACAACGGTGAGCTCGACGACAAATCCAAAAGTAACTTCATTATCCAGGCCTTAGTGCGATTCGCTGCGGCCGTCTCTACCACCTGCATGTACATAATTCCCAGGGCATCTGCAAGCTCAGTCACATGACGTATCGCCCCGGACTTAATCCAGTCGATCGTTACCCCCCGGGGCTCTTCCGGGTGGACCAGTCCGGTCAGGACGATCCGGTTCACCACCTCAACTGTCCCGTTGGCCCAGGCGCAGTGTGGTGCGACAAAATGGTGATGAACACCAAACATACGGCCCAGGGTACTGACCGGTTCGTTCTTAAAATGGCACCGGGAGTCGGATACCCATGCATTGTCACAATGTTAGAGGACGCCAACGTTCTACACTCCCGTATTGGGGTTGGTTTAGGGGTCAATTATTCCTTACTGAGGGTACTCATCGATGCATACATGCTTGAGCAAGATGATTCACAAGCCTTTCGATTCGGATACCATGAAGGAGCCATGCCCAAAATTGTTGGTCCTTCCAAATTCTTCCTTCCAGAGATATGCACTAACTGCTCAGCGCTACTACGTAGTACAAGAGATTGGCTAATATGTATTTAGGGCTTTCTCCAAGTTGATATTTTTACACAATGAAAACTTGGATCCAAGTACAGTTTCCTCGTAAATCAAAAAGTCTATATCGCGTTTTTGGAAAAGACCGAGTGATTTCCAAAGTTATTAAGTAATCATTGGGTAAAACGTTAAGTTTTACCCAATGATGGAGAAATATATTCGCTCACTGGATCATTTAATAATTGTTCTTGAAGGGATTTTCATGACTGGTTAGACATTCAAGTTATAGAATTCAGCTTCGTCATTTTTGATAGATCAACTGCTAGATTAATATCGGGATCTGCTGGTTAGAAGTGAATCATATCTCAGCCACAACATGTTTTTGGAAATCACTCTCTGTATTCCGAGAATACTAATATATCTCATAAAACAATAACGTAAACGGCCACTTTATGGATACTTTTAATGAGGCGTTGCTGGAGAATTGGCATAACTTCCTGAAAACTGGTCATATTTTGATTTCGATTCTTGCAACACCAAGATGAAACGCAGAACAATCCAGTATGACTCACTCCATCGGGTCTTGAGGGGATTGTTGTGTGCAAAACAACCAATTTTCAAGGAAATTACACTTGACTTGAGTTGACGGTTTATGGATACTCTTTTATCTTAAACTATGTATGCTCTCTTGCATACTTTTTGCTAGGGTAGGGTATTAAAATTCAACGGGTAAATATGTATTTGAGGCAGGTTATTGATTCAAAGAGTCGGCCGCACATTCCACATTTTACCAAAAGACCCAAGATGACCACAACGGCAAATCTAGCCACATCAAGTGAAGTACACAAAAGGTATGAATGCATTGCTTCATCAAGACAACAACACTGTCCGCTATGTCGTCTTCGTCTGATTGTGGAGACTCGTAGTCTGAAGAGTCCGTCGATGTCGCTCCCGTCGCGCGCTTGGCCTTCTTGGGTCCCCGTTTGCCCTTTCGCTTTGCCGCGCGTTTCTTGCGCAAGGCCAGCTTGAGCTTGGTGGCCTCGGCACGTTCGGCCTTCGACCCTTGTCGATGTCGTGCAACAGCTGTATTATTTTGTGGAGGTTTTGCCGCTCAAAATCCTGGCGATTCTATTGGCTTATCCGACGTATCCATAAACCGTCCTAGTATCCATAAAGTGGCCGTTTACGTTAACCAAACTACGAAAAATACATACGACGAGACTTCAGGTCCGTTCGTTGTCAGTCGGTATGCTTTACAGCCAACCATGCAATCGAAACCAACACATCACACACAATCTTCCATAAAACATCTCAATGGCTCGTAGAGCTAGAATTCAAGGCCCACAGTCCACCCAACTCACGTCACGCGGCATCAGACAAGCAGTCGCTTTGCTTGATAACCTCGAGCAGCAACGCCAGGCTAAACGTGCACGCTATCCCACGGTCTGTCCGGAGGAACGTGATGAAGACCCTGACTCTGCAAGCCCTATCTATGACGCTTTCCTTGAGACCCAAGGAGCAAACGGTATTCACACTACGACCAACTTCAGTCCGTCGGAATTCAACGTACTCTGGGCCGACATCAGAACCTACGTCACCAAGCACTGGAACGTCGGCTCAGGACGCAAGTCTAAGGTGTCTGCACGCGATCTGCTGCTGATGCTCCTGGCGTCAATGAAACACTGCGGCTCTTGGGACGTCGTTGTTGTCACATTCAAACAACACAGTCCAACGTTCCAAAAGAGAACGGTAAGCTTGGCTAAAGCCCTGCACCACTTCCTCCTCCGTAAGTACGTGACTACCGACGGCGAAAAGTATTCAATGACGTTGCTCACAACCAGTGGTCACCAATTCGCTTACTTGCCGTTCGTTCGCTACGCAACCGACGTGACGTTTCAACAAACAAATGTGCCATCGGGCAGTAACGCCGAGTCGAAGACGTACTTCAGTGGCCAGCATTCCCAACACGCCATAAAGTCGAAGTGTCCTTCCTGCCCAACGGCTTTGCAATCAATTGTACCGCTCACTACAAGGACAGAGTCTCCGACAAGGCCATCTTCGACTACAACCTTGAGTTTCACGTATCTGACCTATCCAAGGAAGCCACTGAGGACTGCATTGCCGACCACGGGGAAGAAGCCACGAACCAGTGGGCCGTCATAGCGGACAAGGGGTACCAAGGAATCCAACGGGTCGTGCGTGCTTTGTTGCCGAAAAAGAAACCAGCTGGTGGTATCCTCACGCTTGAGGACGTCCGCTCAAACGATAGCATTGCAAGCGATCGTGTGATCGTGGAGAACGTTTTCGGCCGGATGAAGAAGTTGTGGGCTGTGTGCGGTGAGGCCTATCGATGGTCGCGTGACAAATACGACGTGTTGTTCCAAACGTGCATGGCGCTGATAAACGTACATATCCGCTTGCATCCGCTGCGTGCCGACGACGGGGTAGTGTATTCTCAGTACATCAATCGCATGTCCTCAATCGGTTCAAAGAAGGACAAGGGCAAAAAGACGTCTTCTCGTACCTACAGGACCAAACGCAAGGCGAGACTGACTCTTATGTTAGCTGCTGAGAGCTCTCTCGTTGCTAGAAGTGCTGTGGGTGCCAGTGAATTTGATTTGGATTTGGGTTCGAACAGCGATGCTGAATATGGTAGCAATCTGCTGTTCTAAAATTAATATGTCTAATTAGGCATGTGTGCTTGTTTTGACGAATTCAGTAGTAGGCTTTATCAAAAGTAGTTGAGTTTAGGACAAGCTAGATGCTACGAAATGGCCGCTTTTTGTTAAGGAATCTCCCTATATAGTTAATTAGTGTAAAAATAGGATATGATTCCTTTTTACCATTGGAAATCGTTTCGACTCAATTGGAAAAGATTCACAATATTCCGATAACTTCCATCCTTTTTATTGAAAAGTGAGGTCTTCGTCAAATCGCTCACATACTACATGAATGCTGTGAGGATGATAAACTACATTCTTCTGGGTTACAGAGTCTATTGGTCAAGTGGTGAGATACAGTAACAACGTAAATGACTTGTTTGTGGAATTCGTAAGGTGGCAGGCCTTACTTCTAATTATTAACCAATCAGACTGCATCATGGTTTCTTTGCCATATTATTGGTCAAGACGATCATTTTTATCGACTTCAAAAATGCAGAAGTACCGTTCCCAGCGACTCAAACAACTCATGCCACCATCAGCTTAATGCTCATGTCAGCAGTTAATCGCACTCTCGAGTACACTCACTCGCATGTTTCCTTAGTGCTTATTGAAGTCACGCATGGA